TTTTTGGCAGTATGATTCTGCAATAATTGTATATATTGTTCGATATAACCGTTATCCCAACCATTGAGGTTGGCTTATGGATCCTATTGTTGCTGGCAGGACACCTTTCTTCTATTACCGACGATGGGCAGTTGACGCAATTGCAGGCCTTGCTTGGTTGCAGATGTACGTCAAATGAGGTGAAATTCGCCTTGCTAATAGCTGCCATCGTGTGTCCGCAAACAATAGCGAGAGAGAATTCTAAGCAATTTGCAAGAGCCTCGTACAACCCTTAAATGATCTTAATCCTAGCGAAATTAGAGAGTCTTCTTCGAGGCTCACTTACAGGAAATTTAACCAAATTTGGGAGCTTTTGTGAATCATTGATGAACAGTCCGCTTTTGTTAACCCTTGGCCTAAGGCCGCGTCTATGATTAATATGGCATTTTGCCTTTAGATTACCAGAGCAACCTGGCTAATAAGCCCGAAATGGCCATTCTAGTCTCCCTTGTCTTTGCCGGCAATACTAGCTGCCTGCCACCAGCTGTTAGGGTTGTCAGGGTCTCTGTCGAGGCCCAAGGCAGAGCGGGACAGATGAGTTCCGTTAACGGTCAGGTGAACATTCATTAACGAGTGTCAATGGCCCCTGACCTAAACCGGCGAGACAACGAGCTCGTGACTCAATGGTTAGGGCTTTTGACTGATCAAAAAATGTCGCGAGTTCGAGGCTCGGTAGAACACCACTAGGGTTTAGATATGACCGGCTGACGAGGACTATTAAGCCAGAAATGACTATTCCAGTCTCCCTGGTCTTTGCTGGAAGTACTGGCTGAATTTCTTTGTTAATGGTCCTTAATTTACCTTCATAGGGATAATTACAACGGAGTGTTGTTTACAACATTACTTCTATCACAGCAAGCTATTCACCTCAATTGACATTTTAGCTCGCAATGAGACTGGGTTTTGACGAAATGTCGTCGCTTTATGTTGAACAACAAGTGCACACAACCTTGTACGGAGTATGTATTAACCAAATGTAAAATTAAGGTCGTCATATGGAAGTCCACTCCGTGCTCAGCATTGTATATAAAATACTAGCCAAAAGGTTGACATCAAGCGGGGTTAAAAGAAAATGTCCAACAGTCTATTAAAATAATCATCGAGCCTACTCACTGTTTAAAAACTTAATTTCTTGAAAAGTCAGTTTATTAGGCAAAACATGTTTTTCAGCAATTCTTCGTGAGGCCCTTAACTTTGCAAAACAATGAACATTTGAACGTGTACGTGCGCAGACTGACAAATTCGCAGAGGCCAATAGGCGCCCACCTAGGGCAATTATTGATTTTTGTACACGTCCAAATGTTCATTGTTTTGCAAAGTTAAGGGCCTGACAAAGAATTGCCGAAAAAACGTGTTTTGCCTAACAAACTGACCTATCAAGTTAACCATGGGAATATTTACCGAACTGAATTTCTTGATAAACAGTGAAGCATCATAAAACGCTACTTTCCACAAACGGCTTGAGTGTAATTCACGACCACAACAACGTATTTAAACAACGACCCTGATCGGCTTTTGAAAAAAACCGATTAATTTTATCCGGAAAAGAAAATTGGTAAGACGTGGGAAGAGCTAATTGCCCCACCGCTCCCCAAGCAATACGGGAGGCTTGTGATGAATTCCAGAAAGGCTACCAATTCCTCTGTTCTTATCCTAATCGTAGGCCTTAACTAACCTTCACCCCAACCATAATTTTGAACTATGCCTAATTTTCGGTAAATATTCCCATTGTTAACTTGAAAAGTCAATTTGTCAGGCAAAA